CTAAAAGCATCATAAATCTTCACTCTTAGTGAAATCTGGTATCCTCAGAGATCACTGTAACAAGTTGCAATGATACATATACTTTAAATGAAACAAATTTCTCTAAAAGTCTTTTGAAATGTTTCATAATGATTAAGTACTTCCCACCCCCATATTCATTATGACATATCCTTAAATATGCAAATAGGCTTTACTAGTGTATGTATCATTAAGTTTAGACAGTGCTCTGCTATTTTATATCCAGAATCAACATGGAACAGAGTTAGCGCCAACAGCGCTAAGCTGACGTACTGTAGGTAAGATACTATTTGAACCAAAACATAGCTCTATTTTATGCTTTCTTGAAATGGAAATCAAAGGATTTCCATTTGCTGTATAAAACAGAAGGATTCTGGTAGTGTCTTTCCAGATTAATATATTTTATTAAAAGACAAGTTGTTGTGAGCCACAGCTCACTTCCTCAGATGCAATGGGGTGACTAGACTGATATTGGATTTAAATTGAGATAAGGTGGAAGCAGGAGTGGGGGAAGGAGAGAAAGAAGATGATGGTTGTATCAGATACAGGTTACATGTGGGGCAAATTACAAGTACCTTGTCAGTTAACAGTTGTAGTGTGTTAAAAGTCCATTGGGTTTGTTGAGACCTTCTCAGATAGGCTGAAACCTTTTGATGCATGTGAGTTTAGCAATCTCTTGTTCAACTTCCTTTTTTCCAAGATGGCTACTTTGAGATCTGTCATGGAGTATCCTGGAAGATTGAAATGCTATGATGCTACTTGGTCCTTGTTTAGAGGCCAGATGTCAAATCTGAGTCCATTAATTCTTTTGCACAAAGTTTGGCCTGTTAATCCTACATAAAATCAAGAGGGGCATTGCTGGCACATCCTCTAATGTAATATATGCACTCATCTGCCAAATTTAATAAAATTTGTTAGTTTGGAAAAGTGTTATCTCTCTCCTTTTGATTTTTGGCTACCAAAGACTAACCTGGCTCTTCTACAAAGTCCCCTTGCTGTATAGTATTTAAGACTGCAAAGAATTATTGGCATGAAATACACCTACTTAAGGTATTGAATGAGATTTATCCTGTTGGTTTATGTGTCTAATCTTCTTATCTAAACAGCTTGATTATGGTATTTTTTTCTCTGAAGGTTCAGTAGTTTTGTTTCCTAAAATGTTCATTTTCAGTTCTGTAAAAACTGTCTTCCTATGTTTAACTCTGAAAAAATAATTATTGTTTCTATAATCCATTGTGGCTATTTAGTTTACCTGTAATAGAATCATAAAGGTAGAAGTTTAATGCACCAGGCAAGAATGGTTTACATCCAAGGATTCTATTTATGTTGAAAATTCTTTGAAGCATATTTATGTGTACTGAGATCTGTAATTTTGAAACTGAATTACATAAACATAGGGAAGGAGTAATACCAGTAATGAATTATTCCTTTCAGGATTGTAGATTTCTCACACCCAGTCATCAGAGATTTCCTTTAGAATGTAGATGAGGTATATAGGTAAATATTCTTCACTTAATGTTGAAAAATCACTGTGAGTGGTAACCCCTAGCTGACCATGGCTGATCTTGAAGAAAGCTAAGAAGTATTGGACCTGCTTAGTACTTGGATGAGAAAATCCCAGGGTTATATCCCTGACTGGGAAATTTAAAAAAGCAAGCAATCCGCAAACTCATCTTGGAAAAAAGTACAACTTCCATATCCTTGGAACAAATTGAGAAAAGGAAAAAGATGAGTAAGGAAAAGGGGAGTGGTAAATGGTACCTCCTGACTTTGTTTAGACATGTCAGGATTTAGGCAGTGTTGGTTTCTCCTCCTTGAGCGACTCCACTTCCATTAGATGATTATGTCTAGATGGAGATTTGCTACCTCTGCATTTGCTAGTGTGATATACTTTGTTTCAAGAGTTTGAAAGGGACAGCAGGCTATATGTGAGAGAAGCAATTAACACTGGTAGTGGGGATTGTAAACTTTAATGAAGAGGAACAAGAAACAAATTGGAAATACAACTTGTTATAAGCTCAAACCTTAATAACGATCAACCTGGAAGTCTGGTTTGGTATCAGATTTCAGCTCTGAGGCTTGCAGTGTTGTATATTCAACATGCATTCAGGCTGGTGCATCTCACTGAGAAACCTGAACCTTGCAGTCAAATAAATAAATAAATAAATAAAATCCGCAAGTAACAAATGATGAAACTTAGTTTTTCTCATCCCAAATATAATAGGCAAATTTTGAGAGCTAGGATAAAGTCTCAAGTCAAGTTTAAAAGAATTGAATTGCTGGAGGAAGGTCTTCATTATCTGCAAAAGAAGATCACGGTCCAAATAAAGTTATCTCCCTTCAGTTGAGGTTGACTTCTGCACAGACTCATCTACATTTCTTTCATGGTAGCCAGTTTGTCATTGCCTTCTTCCAGGATAACTTTCCAGGATCACTTAGTCAACCCTACAGCCTGGTCTCCAGGTCTCCAGAAATGCTAACCACGCCTGATCCTACTTACCTTTTTCAAGTTCAGCTGGGAACTTTTCCCTGCTATGATATTTTGAGTGATCTCTTTTGTTACATTAGAAGGATAATGAGTTGTATTTAGTGCTGGCTTTCATGCTAATGGAAAGGGCTTCTGCTCATGGAAGGCAGGGCATCCAATGTTCCCCATTTCCTATTATGCATTGTAATTTTGTAAATATAATGGTTTACGGTGTTGGAATAGGATCAGGAAGACCCAGGGTCATGTTCATCCTCAGCCATGGAAACTTGCTGGGTGACTTTGCACCAGACATTCTTTCTCAGCCCAACTTACCTTACAAGATTGTTATAGGGATAAAATGAAGGGAGATCTTCATTTAACCTCTCAAGCTTCTGGAGGAAAAGCGGAATGTAAATCTAAAATAATTGTTATTCCAAAATCTCCAATTCTCTGCAATTAGGACAATGCTGAAATGCTGCAGTAGGTAGGAGATAACTTGATTCCCCCACATAGTATAACAAAAGTGCATTCCGCTAGACAAAAGCCACACTTCCAGTCCACTGTATTTGTATTGGTCACTCTATTTGTGATTGTTATAAATAGTGTTTATTTAACAAGTGGGGAGGGGGAAATCATGCCTTGTTGACATTTTCTAGTGAAATATCCATATTGCACTCTCAGATGTGATGCATGATTGCTATTGCGTTTGGCAACAATAGAAGTTCATTATGAATGTGCAGTCAGGTCCAGAAATATTGGGACATCGACACAATTCTAACATCTTTGGCTCTATACACCACCACAATGGATTTGGAATGAAACAAACACAATGTGCATTAACTGCAGACTGTCAACTTTAATTCGGTGTAGGAATTACAACAGTTTACATATGTGCCTCCCACTTGGTAAGGGACCAAAAGTAATGAAATTAAAGTTGACAGTCTGCAGTTAATGCACATTGTGTTTGTTTCATTCCAAATCCATTGTGGTGGTGTATAGAGCCAAAGATGTTAGAATTGTGTCGACGGTGTAGGAATTACAACAGTTTACATATGTGCCTCCCACTTGGTAAGGGACCAAAAGTAATGAAATTAAAGTTGACAGTCTGCAGTTAATGCACATTGTGTTTGTTTCATTCCAAATCCATTGTGGTGGTGTATAGAGCCAAAGATGTTAGAATTGTGTCGACGGTGTAGGAATTACAACAGTTTACATATGTGCCTCCCACTTGGTAAGGGACCAAAAGTAATGAAATTAAAGTTGACAGTCTGCAGTTAATGCACATTGTGTTTGTTTCATTCCAAATCCATTGTGGTGGTGTATAGAGCCAAAGATGTTAGAATTGTGTCGACGGTGTAGGAATTACAACAGTTTACATATGTGCCTCCCACTTGGTAAGGGACCAAAAGTAATGAAATTAAAGTTGACAGTCTGCAGTTAATGCACATTGTGTTTGTTTCATTCCAAATCCATTGTGGTGGTGTATAGAGCCAAAGATGTTAGAATTGTGTCGACGGTGTAGGAATTACAACAGTTTACATATGTGCCTCCCACTTGGTAAGGGACCAAAAGTAATGAAATTAAAGTTGACAGTCTGCAGTTAATGCACATTGTGTTTGTTTCATTCCAAATCCATTGTGGTGGTGTATAGAGCCAAAGATGTTAGAATTGTGTCGATATAGAGCCAAAGATGTTAGAATTGTGTCGATGTCCCAATATTTCTGGACCTGACTGTAGATTTTCAGCTGCTTCTCAAGATATATTTAGCTGGCTGGTATGGATCAGAAAATTGTAATAGCACTTCAAGCGACCACTTTTTGGATTCAAAAGTCATAATTTAGCACAGCTGTTGACTTGATATTTCCAAGTTAAAGCTGTCAACTTATTTATTACTTTATTATTAAAGGGGCAAATGTAATTTATTTCAGGGGAGAATGGAACTTTGTTCCTAACTGAATGAAATTAGTGATGAAATTCCAGCTTTTTGAATTAAAAACTGCCCCTCAATCAATTTCTGAGATTGAGTGCTTTTGCTACTTGGCAATTTTCTAAATTTGATGCAGTGTTTTGCAAGGACAAAAAGACAGGAAGACATATAGCAAATGATTTGGTGTAAAGTACATTTAGTTCGATTTCCTTTTCACTTATTACCTACCTTTCATTTCTTTTGCTCACTTCTTACTTTTTCTGCAATTTACATAACACTGTTTATCCTGAGAGGTAATAGCATGATGAGTATGTAGGTTGGCCTCACAGAGTAAATGCCACTTCTTATTGATAGCATATTCAGTTTGATATCAGATTGATATTAAGTACTATTATAAATTTAAAAAATTAAATCTCACATAAGAAGGATGTCATTTAATACAAATATTGCTGCATGTCCATTTCATTTTATACAGTACCTGAGCCATAACCGTGTGGCTTAGATTTCTTTTCTGTGACCCAAATTCCTCCTTCACCCCAGGAAAAATGAGACAAGGAAAACTAATCTGTAATTTATATTTGACTGTATTTCAAAGTTGTTGACTGTAAGACAAACTTTGTGGAAGGAAGGAAAAATTACACGACATCAGAGTGATATTATAAATCCATTGAGTTGTGCTGTTACCACATTTCACATTTTAGAATTTAGCTCATGGTATAGAAAACCTCTAAAAATTTATTGCAAGCGTGCTTTTGTGTAGAACAAAAAACAGTCACAAAAATTTAGGTCCTCACTTGAACCAAAGAGCCAGAAATACAGATGGGAACCTTACTCATGTGTAGGGGCTTCCACACAAGCATTTCTCGAATAAATGCATATGTATAAAATCAATAATTATTTTTTTCAATCCAAATAATAAGACAGCACTGCACATTTAATCCGGCATTGACATGGTTTAACAAAACCTCTTGTTCAACACACTTTGGGAAGGAAGCTTATGACTGAACTTCAGCCACTGATGGGTGTATTGTGAGCAGAGTTGATCACACATAAATTGCTGAACACACTTTTCACAATAACAGCACTACACTAGTGTACTGAATATTACTTCATTTAATGATGTGTAAATTGCAAAAGTGGAGAGGAAAAAATTATAGCTCATAGGACTTCCCTTCCAAATATACCATTTGTTTCCTGCATGATGGCTTGGCCTGTTTTACTGAAATCAGCCCCTGAGCTCTTGCTGTTGTGTGTTGACCGACAGTGCAGCAACCATAACATTGTAGTATGCATAGATGGAGTGGACCTGGGCCATTCCTGGCTTAGTTTATCAAGGACCTCCTGTATTAATTGCTTTTTTGGAGAGGAAAAAAAATGAGGTCTCAATAATCAGAAAAGTACAGAATTTCCTAAACCAGTATAAGATAGATATTCATACTACTTTCTACAAAGGTGTAGGTTCTAAATTGTTTTGGATTTCTGCATGCTAGTTCAAGTTGTCCTTCACTTTTCCTAACCAATTAAACCAATTTTAATAGTAATACTATAGATAGGTTACTTGACCTAGGCTGATTATTTTTGTCTCCTCTACATTTTCCTTCTGTTTTCAGGGTTGAAGCTTTTTTCCCCCACTACTATGTCAGATTAAAACAAAAAGGAAAAAGGCCAAAACATGAAACAATAAACAAGCGAAGCTGCCACGACTATTTTCACCCCACTCCACTTTGTGGTGGAATGCAAGATCTTTGTTAATTGTACATGTTAATGCAGATTAATTTGCAAATGCCATTACAACATTATTTTGAGAGTAAGTGACAGGAGTTAAGAACTCCTAGAAGAATGGGAAATTGGCAGTTCCCACTGACCTTTCTGCTTACCAGAATGGCTACAAAATATACTGAGCCTTGATCAGAAAGGCAGGTACACTTCCATCTGCTGTGCAGGAATGTTATTTTCTACTCTGCATCCCACCTACACCTATAATTTTCTTGCCTGGATTCTTTCAAGAGAAGAGAATTTTAAAAAATCTCCTCCTCAGATCTTGCCATGTCCAGCTAATCTTCTGCACAGAAGAAACAAGAAGTTGGTATTCTGAACATCCACGCCTATTCAGCTTCCTAAGTTGCACATTACCACCCAGCAGAGAGCTATTTTCATTTCATTCAACTAATTAATATGCTGCCTGAGCTCTGTATCTCAACACTTGAGAAGAATCGGGATGACAATTCTCTTTTTTAAATTAGATTAAGCCAATCTAGTTGGTACAGAATGATACCAATATCCAGTCTTGTAAGAACAGTTTTGAAGAATGGTGTTTTTACATTTAAAATGTTACATTGCCTGGTTTAATGTCTTATCTCTCTTCTTCATAAATAATGATATGTAGATTTACACAATTTTTACAAAATCTGTGATATTTAGTGTCACTGAGTGAAGTGATCATTATCATATACCAGGATCCCACTAAGCAACAATAAATGTACAGGAAACATATTGTGTGCCATGAAAAGCACAGTGGGTGTGCTATGTCTGACACCTTTTGGGTGGGTCCACATGCCCCATTGATAGCTCTACAGAAGGCTCACTGTCCCAGAGATTTCCATCAACATACCCTGTCTTGACCTGGGTGGTGTTTACACAGATGAATGCATAACTCAAAGCCCAAGTTCAGTGTTCAGGAATGAATACATTGTCAGCTTGAATACCTGTGTAGTCTGCTGTTATGTGTTAGGGTGCTATATCCTAATTTAAGCACTGACAGGAGAATTCAAGGGCAGTCTATAAATCTGTAAGATAAAAATTGCTGTTAAGAATCAGTGACAAATTGGGGAAAAATTGGCACACTTAGGGATCCTTGCACAGAAATTCTAAAATTCAAGAAAAGTACAAGGAAGAATACAATACAAGTTCACATTTTGTAAGGATGAAGTATTACTGGTATTAGCCTATGTACCCAGCTGAGGCTACTCTATTTTCTTTTTTTAAAGTGCACCCACCAAACATCACCTAGCTCTGGTATAAATAAAAAAGGATTTATTGAACGCTCTAGCCCTAATTTTTCTAATAGGATGTAAGAGGTAATAGGACAAAGTTCCAAATGGTAAATTTGCTATAGGCTTCACATCTGATCTTACGATCCCAGCTGCTGTAGACTCTTGCATGGGATGCAATTTTTGATGTAAAAATGAGGTGACATAGAACTCTGTAAGGTTACTACATCTCCTCAGAACTCAGATAAAATTGACTTGATAAATTTTAAGCTGGATTGCATATACAGATGTTTCACAAATGCATCTTTGTCTTTCTAATATTCAGTTTTGAGGGCTCCTTGTTCAAGTTCTTTGTTTTTAATTAATTAGTTATTTTTTGCTTTAAAATGTTAAGTCGCTTCCTTTTTCATAGACTTCTGTTTCATAGACTTACTGTTTTATAGAACAGTAGATAGATGACATGATGAGAAGTTCAATAGTGCAGGGAATGACAGTGGACACATCACAGGGCGATGTGCAAATTTCTGATTCCCCATTACTAAATGCAGAAACACGGGTACAGACACATGCCTTATTTCCTTAACTTTCAACACCAAAGTGTAGAGATTCAAGCCTGGGAGAATTAGGAATGGATTTTTTTCATTGTAGGATTGTAAATTCCTGATTGCCAAATCAGTAAGCCTGAATGGTGGTGGATACACTGGGGTTCTCTGTCATCATCAGAGTGGTTCCATGATGGACAAGCAGTACCAAGCAGGAAGCAGGTTTGTGACTTGGGGGTCCTTCTGGACCTACAGCTCCTGCTAGAACAGTAGATGGAAGCTGTGGTCAGAGGTGCCTATACCCAGCTTCAGCTGGTACATCATTTGCAACTATACGTGGGGCAGGAAGATCTAGCTACAGTAACTCATGCCCCTATCACCACTCAGCTAGGCTACTGTAACACGCTGTATTGGGGCCTGCCCTCAAAAATACTCAGAAAATACAACTGGTCCAAAATGCAGCAGCTCACATACTTACCAGCTCCTGTCGTGGGAGGCATCACTGGTTTTGCAGCCCCTGCATTGGTGGCCAGTTGGTTTCCAGGTACAATTTAAGGTGCTAGTTTTAACCTATAAAGCCCTTTATGGTTTAGTGGGTAGATATCTGCAGGACCACCTACACCAACCAGTACCACCCCAACCAATTATTTCAAACAGAAAGAAACTGTTACTGATCCCACATTTTCAAGAAGTCTGGGGGGCTGAAGCGAGGAGTGCCAGTCCTGTGGAACAGCCCCCTGCTTGAGACCAGATTAGGCCCCTCATTGATATCGTGGAAGCTTTTAAAATGGAGCTTGTTCCAGAGAGCCTTCTCCTAATTTTATTGTGCCATCTTCATTTTCTATTTTTAGCTTGTAGTTTTCTGTTTGGATGATCCTGCTTTACTGTTTTGATTGTTGTTCTATTGTGGATGTTTCTGTGGAGTCTCTGGATTCCAGTGGGGTAGAAATGTGGAAAATAAATAAATAAAGCCTGGGGCTTTAAAGTGTGTCCACAAGCCTCAGCTTGGCCATTCCTTTCCTTCATGCAAAGCAGAAAGTATTTCTTGTATTTTTATAATAAGGCCGTTCATACCTTCCATCCATTAAATATGACATGCCGAAACCGCTAAAATCTATACAAATGCTGATAATCCATGCTTCTCCCAGGAACAGGAATAAACTAGAGAGCTGCCAGATTAGGAAACCTTCCACAATATGGAAACATCAGCCAAAGGTTCTAAAATAGCATTTCTCAATCGTGGTAATTTTAAGATGTATGAACTTCATTTCCCAGAATTCCCCAGCCAGCACGTTGGGGATTTTTTTTTTTTTTTTTGGAATTACTGTCCTTCTGCAGAAGTATCTAATGGTATGGATTAAACAAGTAAAATAATTATATTGCACAATTGATTGTGTGTCACTAGAGGACTGTAGATAACAGTGATTTCTAAATGACATCTCAATTGTTTAACAAAATGATAGAAACAATATATACTCTCAGCAAAGAAAGGGAGAACCCAAGTGTTGTTAGCCTTACTCAACCTGGAATCCTCCAGATGTCTAGGAGTACAACTCCCATTATTCCCCACATGACAATATTGTTCCTACTGGATGAGAGAACAGGAACTAAATCCAATATATCTGGCCAATACCAGGTTGCTAGAAAAGTGGTGTAGAGGTTGGGTTATACTATATATTACTTTGACAGTTGTTCAATATGGTGTGGGAGAGCTGCAATATATGAATGCTTTGACTCAATTGGTCATGGCTGTCATGTTGTGAGGAGCAATTGATAATCCTAGAGGGATGGTGTCCATGCATCCAAAGATGTATCTCGTTACATCCATGATACCTGAATACACTTGGATGCATCTATGCATTTAAGTGTCTTTCTCAGTCTGGCGAAGAGCCTGCTTAGAAGATGAAAGTAGTTCACTAAACACAGGTCGCTGTTTTGCCCTCTTCTCTTAGTCTCCCTAAACAACATTTTTAGTGGCATGCAAAACCTGGATAGTTTTGTTATTTCCAATCCTGCATTGATTGACACCCATATGTGATACTGGAGAAGATTCTTGTTGACCATGAAAAAGACCACTTCTCCCTGTCTCTCAAGAAGGTTGGCCAATAATGATTTTTGGCTTGATGGGCATGAAAACAACTGTTCTCATCAGCCTACAGAGGAGATATACTGTAGATCATTATATAAAAGATGTTTACATTGACATCATCTGTGGTGGCCTTCCCAAATCTCTCCTCCTAGATATGCTAGGCTGTAATTATTAAAGGATCGTGAAACACATCTTCACATGTCTGACAAATTGTTTTATAAGGGAACGTCATCTCTGTATATTTAAATGGTACCACGCAATGGAATGCTCTACTTGAACTCCGTATTTTCATTGTGTGCAATTTCTTCATGCCCACGTGCGGCTAGTAGTCATGTGATACTCAGCCCTTTTTGTGCTGAAGTAGAAGCATGACAATTTTTCAGATGCTCTGGAACTGGTTCATAATAAAGTTTTAACATGCAAATGTTTCTGATTGTCTAGTAATGATTTTTTTGTCTGAAAAATGTCTAGTTTGTGATAAACTGCAAGGCAGCAGGATGGCCAAAACAATGGAGTCAGAATGAAGCAAATGCTTTGAGAGAAAGCTGGCCGAGGAGTCTGACGCTATGGAAGACTGCTAACTGAGCAAAAGAAGAAAACATTGTCATAATTTTTGGGCAGTGACTTCATGAGCAGTCTTCATTCCCCTATTGTATCAGAATGGCAAGATGTATAGTTCAGGTCAGTCCTCAAATACAAGGATACTGAGATATTTCTCAGCATCTAAAAATGTTAAATTGCTTTGGGTAAGAGTTTTTAAAGGACAAAGGGAAATACATGCTTTGAAACATATTGTGCCTCAGTCAGCAATTTCACAAATTACTCATCAACCTGCAACACATTGTTTATGTTATTTGGTTTTAGATTTTCCAATATATATCATTAGGTATGGGACCTTTAATTTTACCTTTAATTATCTCTGGATTTGGCATATAAGTTTATGCAGCACTGTGAAAAAAGCACAGATCCAGCTACAGTTAAGGAGAAACTAGTTTCTCAGAGGATGTTTTGTATATTTCTCACACTGTGTAGAGGAATTCAATGCCTGGAGAATAATATAGGATGATTGCAATTAAATTAAATCTCTTATGCTTCTGTTATGGCATAACTGAAATTAAACTTGGAGCTTAACTAACTTCAGACAGCACAATGAACTTAGTTTGGTAAACCTTTCAGTTTCTGACTGTTCATTTATATTAAAAAAAAGCATTTTCTGTCAAAATTATACCCCCTTTTACAATCTAAAAGCATTGCAACAAAATAAAATCTTCAGTCTACTGTCCATCTGCCATTGCCTAATCACTGGCTTGCAAAATAGATTTGTACATTTTTTTTAAATATTTCTCTTCTAGCAATCTCTTCTCAGCCACACAACAGTGCGTATCTTTACACATCGTGCACTGATTTAAAAAAAACAAACAATAACATGCCCAACTGGAACTGTTGAGCCTTTTTAGCTAGGAAAGGGATAGGGAAAAGGATCTGTGTGACAACTAACAACCTGTTTGAAAAATCAGATTGAGCAATAGCTAACATAAATTCACTTCTGATGCACCGGTGCCCAAGTTGCACTCACATTGTGCAGCTTCCATATGGTGCTCTCTTGAGGGCCCTTTCAACATCAGCAAGGCCATTGGGAAGACACCAACATATTTAATGGCTTCCCTAGTTATTTTGTCACATGGAGTAGCAAGTTCCCCATCTTGGCATCCCAGAGTTCTCTCTCCTCTTTCCTCCTTCTCCCCAACTCCTAACCTAAGCCATGAAGACGGATCCATCAATGACCTGGTGAGGGGTCCTCCAATCCAAGCAGCTCCTTTACAAGTCTCTCACCAAATTGCACTCGGCTGTACTTTTTCATGGGATAGGCATCAGACATTTTGTACAGGATATAAGCGTTGTTTATGGCAATGCTGATGGAAAACCAGAAGACTTGTTGCCAGGTCTTGTTTGGTTTATGAGAAATGAAATACCTAGAAAGCACCCAAAAAAGAGAGAATGGTGGGGTCATGAAATGAATTTTTAAAATGTTTCTAAGTCAAGAAGGAAGGGATATGTCCTAAAAGTGGCAGAATCCAAAGGTGGGGCTGCTGCCCCTTAAACTTGCATCATCTTACAAGATACTTATGAATGACACAGAATGGTATCCCACCTGTCACCCTCCAGAACCTATTAGCACTTCAATATCCAGAATTCTTTCAGCTGTGGGTCAATTTTGTGAATGCACCTCATCCTAATGCTTTGTAGGCCAACAGGCAATCTAAATTGGAGATGGCAGAGATCCAGAAACTTGATTACTGATTTTGCTACATTTCCTCATATTGTACTATTAGGATCTTCCTATGCTGAATGCCTCAAGCCCCCCAAACTTTGAGGAATAAGGGAAATAGGATGGCAGGTGAAGCAGCAGCCTGGCCCTTCTTTTTCATTTAAATGAAGATCTCCAATTATATGTATATTTACTACTCCAAATTTTAATTTTAAACTTAAGATCGGTGATTGATTTATTCCCAGTGGATTTCTGTGATGCATTTCACTATAACTTCATTTCAGCATTTCATAGTGCTTTTGCAGGAAACACCCATGTCCCAGATTTATATTAGTTTTCCATCGCTCTCCAAGTGCCTTTATGTATCAATACACCAGAGGTGGGAGCAAAATCACAACAAAAAATGAGTGGAAACCAATCATGACCTTATGAAAGCTCTGATTTGCTGTTTTTAAGATAGGCTACACTTCACTTTTAAGAATGGCTCTGCTCTTTTCTTGGATGTTGATTAGTGCACAATAATACACCATCCACCTTGGCTACTTTACTACTTGCACAAGCAAGACTAGTGTGATGCTATGACTACCCCTGTGAAGTTTGCAAAAGCAAGTGACACAAGTATTACCTTAGAAACTGAACTGGGCTTCCGTTTCTAAGAGCTCTGCCTAATAAATTTCAATGAACTCTTGTACAATGGCCTAAATAAGTGATGCCTAAGCTTGGTTTTGCCAAGTTCTTTCCTCTTTCTGTAGAGGCTCAGCAAGCTGCCAGCACAACTAGTCCCATCCCACTGCCCCACTTCCCAGCCTGTGGTACACTCCGCTCACAATGTTTTTTGGGGGACTTCAGGACAGGAATGGCTATAAATCTCTCTTCCACCAGAAATTCAGTTCCACAATCTGGATATCCACAGAAACCTTCAAGGACTCAGTGCTGCTAGATAAGTTACTTTACTGCTTGCAAGAAGTCATATATCCCCAGAAGATTTGTCTGCTGCACAACAGAAACCAGGACATATACGTTATATCTCAGTCCCAAGGTTTAAACCTTAAGCCTTTTCCTCCTACCCTTTTAGGTTAGCAGATTCTTGGTCATTCTTTTACACATCTTCAGACTGGGAAGTGGCTGCTTAATTTTAACATAACAGTTCTGTCTATTCTAAGCAGTGCTGATCCCTGCCTTGCCAAGCTTTAGCCCTTATAGTTTTAGGGTACTGCAAGTACCTCTCATCTCTGTAGTATAACTCCCTGTGTCTGTTTTTAATGAACATTTTTTTTCTCCCAGTCTTTTAAATGGAACCAATGTCTTCAGCTTTTATTTTTTCTTGGCACAAGATAGTGGTAGCTTCTCATTTCACTTAGCCGTTTTCATTCCATAAAATAATGGATTAAGTTGGTCAAGATTTACTGAGAACACAAATGGCCTAGTGTTTATTGTCATCTTCTTAATGGGCATCTTCTGATACATTGGAACCCAAACTCCCAGAAATCTAGCTGGTAAGCTATGGGTCATTCTGACTGGGACTCCTTGTAGTCCAAACCAGGCTAGGGAAAACTGCCATATTATATCAGAAGAGTGGGGAAATGATTTTTTCCATGCTCCCCAGCCCCAAACATTGCCTATATATGAGAAGCTATCTTACTGCGGTAGCTTGCCACAAATCCCTTCACTTGTTATACTGCACAAGAGTTAAGACTGCTAATGTCTGTTTAGAAACTGTCCTCAAGACAGAAGTTGAAGGACAGCTGAAAAATCTATTAGTAAATGAAACTTCCCTCTGTGACAAACCTGAATTTTCTGGACTTGGCCGCTGCCATTTTACAGCACCAAAGTCCATTTGGGGAGCCAATGGTCTTTGAAAAGCTGGCAATTCTACTAATGTCTCAAGCCTGCCAAGAAGCAAGCTTGAGAACCGTGGCCAGATTCTGCCTTTCCCTTCCTGACATTCCCAATCAAAATGCTTGGGAAATGTCCCAGGTTTGTTGCCAGGCAGAGATTTTTTTGTTTGCTCAGCTCTGAGGCATTATGTGATTCATGTGTTGACCAGCTGTCACTGGTGTTTTGCAGGCCCTAGCTCTTTTTATGGGAGCTGTGCTCTGGTCATGTCACAGGGGGTCATGCTAGGGAAACTTTGCTCAGTCCATTGGATCTGAGGGACACGGAGAACATGAGAGATTTTTTTCCCCCTAAAGCCGTGCCAGAAATACCTTTTCTCTATTTCTCCCTTTGTGAATTCCAATACCTTCTTCGGATATACCATCTTCAGATACAAATTTGAGTTGAAGCTATTCCATCTGGCTGAAATCATTTTGGAATAGGCTGAAAGGAAGACATTTTGGAACTGGTAGAGCTGATCCAAGGCACACTGAACCCAAAGCCAGAATGTACCCACTCAAAATCTGCTGCTTAAAGCAGCCTTCTCCTTTTGCCTAACGATTGGCTAATCCTGGGAACAGGCATGTCATCACGCCCTGCTTGGTGTCTCTTCAAGCCCAGACTTAATATATTAAATATCAGAATGTAAGTTTCCACTTCTTAAAGAGCAGGATAGGACAGGGACACAAAGAAGGAGGTCTAATCTTTTCTCGTATGCTAGAAATCTCCCTGTCCTTCCAAAGCCACTACCACCCACAGGTTCATCAGAACTGAGTCCTCTACTCTTGTTTTCACGTGAAAAAGAAAAGTTAAATAATCATCCCTAATTACTTAATCTCTGTGGAAATGTACTTGGGAATTTAAAAGCAGTTTTTTAAAAAAGTAAAGAGGATTAAAGAAACCATACTGGTATAATTATGTTCCTAACACAATACATTTTTCATACGGTGCGTGTGTGTGTGTGTGCTCCTTCGAATAAGTGTTGACTCCTGGCAACTGCCTGAACAAGTCCCTGCAGTTTTCTTGGCAAAATTTTGGAAGTGGCTTGCCACTGCCTCCTTCCTAGAGCTGAGAGAAAGTGACAGGCCTAAAGTCACCCAGCTGGCTTTGTGCCTCAGGCAGGACTAGAACTCAAGAGTCTCCCAGTTTCTAGCCTGATCCCTTCACCACCACACTAAACTGGCTCTCTTTTCACATGGAAGAACATTCAAAGGTGCAGTTCCCCACTTGCAGTGTGAAGTGATACTGTCCAGAAGAGGCTGGTCTAAATGCTACTTTTTTCATATTATACAGTAATATGATCTTTCTATATGTAAAAGTATAATTTTAACTGTTGGTCACAGATCTATAGCAGCTTACAGAATCAAATCAATCTTTACTGCAGTTATTAACTAGCACGAGTCCACAGAATCATACAACTGGAAGACATCTGCCTGGTTACTGAGCTCAACCCTCCACTCCAATTCAAATTCAGTTCAGGAATCCAAAATAAACCATCCATGGCAGAGGGCCATCCAGAGTCTACTTGAATGCACAGAACAAAGAGGTATCTACCACTTTGCTTGGTAAGTGATTCCACTGTCAAACTATTCTTATTGTTGGGAAGAGCTGAAATCTCCCTTCCTGTACTATTATCTGCCTTCTGAAATAATAGGAAGCAGATTGTGGTCTTCTTTTGTATGTAACAGCCTTTCAGTTATTTCAGGAGTGCTGTCATATGCCCCCAGGTTCTCTTCTTAAGGCTAATCATATCCGTTTCCCCAATCTTTTCTTAGAACTTAAGTTTTCATTCCTGTAATGGTCCTCACTGCCCTTGTCTAAACTAGGTGCATTTCCTTTGAATCTTTTGAAGTGCTGCACTACTGGAGATGAGATCTGACAAGTGCAGAATAGATGGAATTCTTTCTTCACATGACTTGGAAACAACTGGACCCACATTATTTCCAAATACTTGAAAGCTGCTAAAGTAGCTACTTAAACAATTACCTTTTTTTTAAAAAAAAAAAACCGTCTGCCCAATTGTCAGAGATCATCTTCAGAAAGGTTGGTAGCACATTTCTTACATCATTCTGTTGCCATATAGAAAAAGTGATATTGGGTCCTGAATTTTGTTTAAACAATTAAGAAAAGTTCCACACTTCCAACCCTACGAGCTTTATCCTTGCCCATCCTGTTGTTTACTTACTTGCTATATTTGTCATCATATCTGCAAATATAACTAAGATGGGCAGCAAAGGCTTCTACTGCCAGAGGGCACGGGATCTCTCCACTCTTCCTCTTAATGATAACACCTGTTGCAACAAAGATACATAAAATACCATCACATCATACTGTTGATTGAAAATGCTACTAGATTTGTTGAATCAGTGGGCACCAGGTCATATCATCCTGATTTTAAACCTTTTGAGAAGAAAGTCCTACTTGGCTCAGGTATTCTAAGAATATAGGGAAAGTAGGATACAGCATTCGTTTCCAAATATTTAGAAAATCTTTAGAAAGTAGGCTGAAGAGGCATTTTTAATTACAAGGAATAGATTTGAAAAGCTCTGTAAATAGGCTAGATTTACTAGCCTTCTTCCTCTTGAGATGTTTATGGATGTGATTGAGGAAAAAGCATGCACCCTTTTCAAAGTCTTCTTCTGTTTGTTTACCCAGAGACAATTTTTATTTCCTGGGTACAAGGTATAGTAACCCTTTTGCTACCTCTTGTCAGAGCATTTACCAATTGGTTGCAGAGAGAAAACTGCTTGTTAAGGGTTTCTCAGTTTTCAAGGAAGTTGCTAAATGCTTGTAAATCAGGCCACATTACAATGGCAGATTCTAAAGATGTGCTACTTTTTAATGCAGAACAGACTGTTGCAGTAACCTGTTGACTTTCAAATAATCAGGCAGCTGATAGAAAGGAGTCTAATTTCCTTAAAGCTAAGTATAGTTGAACCCCATTGATTTCAGTAGAAAGTTGATAAATACCAACTCATAAGTCCCACTGAGTTCAGTAAGACTGCCCTTAATTTAATATATACTGAATTGCTTCCTAACCCTTTTAAAGTCAACAGGGTATAGCACCATGATATGCCTAATTTTGAATGCATCTTCTCATTTAACATACCTAATTCAAATTTGAAGTTTTTTTTAAAAAAATGCAAATAACAGTAACAAATGTGTAAGTGCATGAGAGAGACAGAAAGAGAGAATGATTAACCGTTCTTTCTACTAGTGTCCCAAGTGCCAGTAGAAAGGTTTTTCCTCTCCTCTCAAACTACTGCTCAAAGACTGTGCAATTTAAATTTATAAAAAATGTGAATTACATTGAAAGATGCAGTTAACTTAATTCTGTTTTGTTTCTAGGATTAGAATCTATATCAGTGTTTCTCAACTTTGGCTGCTTGAAGATATGTGGACTTCAACTCCCAGAATTCCCCAGCCAGCATGCTGGCTGGGGAATT